GGTCCCCCTTCGCCCTCCCGGTGCCAGCGCGGCGGCGACCCCGCTCTCTGCACCCTTCGGGGCCGGGGGATTTCTCGCTACGGGGGCTTCGGAAAGCAGCTCTCGGCTTTTGCATGCCATTGGTGAAAATATTCCATTACTCCTCTTGCAGTTTTTGGTGAATCATACTCGCCACCTTCCCCGCCCCCCGCATTATCCGGAGTATTGTTTGATTTTGGAGACTAGTCTTAGTAGAGATGCCTGGAGAAGTTCGGAACAATAGACGTGTTTGAGACACGCCGCGGTACGTGACGGGTGCTGTAGAGTCTGCGATGAAAGATGGACTGTGGGATAGCTGTCCGTCGGCAGATAACAGTTTGTTTCTTTCTTTCTTTTTTCTTTTTTTTTTTTTTTTTTTACCAGAGGGGAAAATCAGTAGGCCTCATCCTGAAAGAACAGGGAGTGTAGCAACGAAACGAAGAAGTGTGGACTGTATTCCAGTGGATTCATTCAGAGTTGGCAGTCGGCTTTAGGAACCAAGGGGGCAGGAGGCTCAGATTGCGAAGGTGTCTGCAAGGGCAGAATTCATCAGTCAGGTGGGGGCACTGGGTCGAAACCGTGAGGCCTCCAGGATCCAGTCGCATCAAAAGGCAGAATTCATCAGTGTGAAAATCGGGTGATTTAAAATGTTCCCATTAGGAATGTGAATCAGAAGGAGTGCATTGGGGCCCTAAATTAGGATTTGACAGAGTTATTTGGGCGACAGGGGCCGAAGCCAAGTGAGCGGGTGTTTGATATAGGTTGGCGGGGCAGATGGGAGGCTCTGTAAACAGTGTCTTGTGACTTGGCAAAACCTCCCAAAGAAGGACCTGGCCGCGCATGAGTTCGCATTACGTGGAAAGACGAACCTTAAAAAGTTAATGGCTCCTTACTCCATTTGTTGGCATGATGGGTTCATCGTTTCAGGGAGCGTACGTATTTAGAAAGGAAATTCTGGGGGCAAATAGTACAGCATTTTTTAGTAATTACAATTTAAGAAACGATTTTTTTTTTTTTAAGTGTTGGATAGAACAAGCAATGACCTGCTTCTTACCCCTTTCTACTTTTCCAGAAAAATTAAAACTGCGTGAAAGACTTGATTTGTGCCATTGAGGAAACACAGATAATATTTTGAGGGATTCTAGCAGGGACTTGCTTACTGTGGTGCTAGGGGTTGGACCCAGGGATTTCACAATGAGCTACATCTCCAGCCCTTGTTCAATTTATTTTTTTCATTCTCAGGCAGGGTCTCGCTAAGTTGCTAACTTGTCCAGGCTGGGCTTGAACTGGCCATCTTTCTGCCCCAGCCTCTCACAGTGTTGAGATTCCTTGTGTTGGACACCACAGCAGGGACTTGTTAAATTGTTTTTTTTTTTTCCTCTTTGTTTTGTTTGAAACAGGGTCTCACTGTGTAGTTCATGGTGGTGTTGAGCTCACTATGTAGCCCATGCTGGCCTTGAATTCCTAGTGATTCTCCTGCCTCAGCTGGCCACGCGCTCAGGCATGCACCACCCTGCCCTGCTGTTTGATTTTTTTTGAGCTGGGGTCTCACTGTGTTGCCCAGGCTGCCTCAGATAGGCAGTTTTGCTTCAGGTAGCTGAGATTATAGGTTCCCACCAACATGCCTGGCAGGTTTTAAAATTTGATAAAAGGAAATAAATGGATCATTTTAGGAACATGAATTGTCAAAGAAAAATTTCCAGAAATTCTTTTCAGACTAGGTGACATTTTTGTGAAACCACCCTTCCTTTTTTTTTGGTTTTTTAAACAGGATCTCACTATGTAGCTCAAGCTGGTCTCAAACTCAGAGGTAATCCTCCTGCCTCAGCCTCCTGAGTGCTGGGATTACAGGTGTGTGCCGCCTTGCCCAGCTGGTTACATGGTAGTGAGTTCTAACAGGTTCTTATAAAGGGCTCTTGGACTTTTTGATTGCACCTACTGACATTTTTGGAAGTGTGAAAAAGGAGTTAATATTGGTAAGAAATAACTAAAAGCGTATTGTAGTGTTTTGAAATGTATGAATTGGAGCAGTAAGTTTAAATTGTGGCAGTAAGTGGCATCTTCTTGTGGAAATTTTTAAATATTGGCAAAATTCCTATTTCTGGAAAGCTACTAGATTTATAAATGATAGGTCAGTTTCCTGACGGAATCACATTACACAAGTATGCAAGTTGTTTGATTGCTTTAGTTGCAAAATTTTATGATAAGACTAGAATGTTTGTACAGGTTAAATATTAGAAACTTGGTAACTTTTTTTCTTGGGATTTTGAGGCAGGGTCTCACTATGTAGCCCAAGCTGGCCTTGAACTAGTGGTGTTTCTGCCTCAGACTCTCTAGTACTTGGATTTGAGGTATATGCTACCATGCCTAACCAACTTGATGGATTTTTAAAAATTTTTGTATCAGGGATTGAACTCAGGACCTTGCACTTGCGAGGCAGGCAGCAGAACCACTGAGCCAAATCCTTGGCTCTAACTTGGTGGATTTTTAATCCTATGAAGATACAAATGCTTTGGGAAGCTGAAAAGATTACTTAATATGCAGAGATTTTAAAGTTACATTACACATGTAGTTTTGGTTTAATGTAGCTTTTTTTTTGTTTTGTTTTGTTTTGAGACAAGGTCTCACTGTATATCTAGCTGGCCTTGAACTCATTATGTAGCCCAGGCTGGCCTGAAACTTGAAGTAATTCTTCTGCCTCAGCCTCTGAGTGCTGGAATTACAGGCATAGAGTGCCACACTTAGTTTGTAACTCAGCATTTTTTTTTTTGGTACTAGGGATGGAACTTGGGTCCTTGTGCTTGCGAGGTAGGCTGTAGAACCACTGAGCTAAATCCCTGGCCCTAATTCAGCATATTTTGAAGATGTATTATTATAGGCCTAGAGAAATTTCCAGTTTAAGAATCAGAGTTCCTTTTATTTTATGCTTACTCCTTTTCCTTTACATTGTAAATTGGAAAGCAGCGGACTTTTTTTTTGTTTTCTGTGCTTTTAGGGATTAAACCCAGGTCTTCAAAATGAGTCATATCCCCAGCTCCGCCTCCCCACTGGGGATCAATTTTGGACTTTGCGCTTGTGAGGCAGGCCCAGTGCCACTGAGCTACATCCCTGGCCCAGCTCTTTTTTTTTTAATGTTTTAATTTTGAGACGGGGTTTCACTAAGGCCCTGAGTTGTCTAGGCTGGACTTGAGCATGCCTCAGCCTCAGCCTCGACTGGGGTTATAGGTGTGCGAGGCAGCAGTGTAGATATTTTGAATTCGGATCCTCTTCCTTTGTAGCTAATTAATTAAAATGGATTATAGTTTTATAAGGATGTGGCTATGATTTCTGGTTATGAGAGTATGGTTCATGCTATAATCGGACTTTGTCTTATAGAAACATTTCATTTGTGCCAGAGAAATTAGCTTCATCAAGGCCAGAAATCAGGATATACTAGCCAGTCTCTGGCCTCCACTGACAAAACTCATGTTGGAGATGACTAAATTGGTGCTAATAGGAGAGTTACAGATACAGTAGCTTTGTTTGATGGGCTGAAAACTTGGCATCTAAATAGATGTTGTTGTCAACCCTGTGTTGTGAAATTTTCTGTCCAAATTTCACATATCTTCTATGCAATTGTTGTGGCAAGTTTTTATTTTATTTTAATTTTTGGTACCAGGGAATTGAACTCAGGCTCTTGTACATGCAAGGCAGGTGGCGGAACCACTGAGCTAAATCCCTGGCCCCCAAGTTTTTATTTCTTTAAAAAATGATAAAATTAGTAGTGTGTTAGCATTGTGCTAGATCACCAAATGGTCTTAAATTTGAGGGGCTGAAAGTGTGGCTTAGCTGTTGAGGGGTGCTTAGAAGGTAGAAAAGCCCTGGGTTCAATCCCAAGTATGTGTGCACACATGGGGAAAAAATTAAAAAGAAGCAAAAAGAAGGAAGATTGGTGATAACTTGAATTTCTTTAAATTTTCAGTTCAGTTTTTGAAATATCTATGAAAAAAATATGAGAGTATTTGGTATGTTAAACTTTGTCTAATACCATCTGGCAAGGAATTTTCCAGAATACTGAAGATCGGGCCGGGCGTGGTGGTGCATGCCTGTAATCCTAACACTTGGGAGGCTGAGGCAGGAGGATCTCTGTGACTTTGAGACCAGCCTGGGCTACATAGTGAGTTCCAGTTCAGTCTCAACTACATAGTGAGACCCTGTCTCAAAAAAACAAAAAAACAGGGCAGAGGATTTAGCTCAGTGGTTCTACAGCCTACATAGTGAGTTCCAGTTCAGTCTCAACTACATAGTGAGACCCTGTCTCAAAAAAACAAAAAAACAGGGCAGAGGATTTAGCTCAGTGGTTCCAGAGCCTGACTCACAAGCGCAAGGACCCGAGTTAAATCCCCAGTACCAAAAAAAAATAAAGAAGAATCAAAAAAACAATACTGAAGCTTACTCTTTGGATACATTTAGACTTAAAATATTTACTCCTTCAGATAGAAGTATTTCTAAATATATTATCTTTTTTAGGCTTTTTAACTTTTTATAATTTGAGTTTTTTCTTTTTTAGTACTTGATGTCATTCACAGCATTTGTAGTTTACAAATGTTGCCAGAATATTTAGAGCTATAGAAGTCACCTCCATCTATGCACTTACCACTCGTTAATTTAGTGACTGTTCTTTAACATTGTTTTGTTTTCTTTGGGCTCAGGTTATTTCTTCTTCTGTGTATTGTGCCTCTGTTGGTGCCGATTGTGCAGTTGCTTCCCTCTTCTGTCTTATCGGACTTGATGCTAAGAGGTTTGTGTAACTAGATAAAAAAGCTTCTTTGAGCTGAAAAATAAATTTCTGAGAGAAAGTTGGAGGGATTCTTTTGAGTAAAGCATGTGAGCTTTATTATAGGGACTTTGTACCTTCTATTCTGGCTTTGTATCCAGCCCCCCCCCAACTTCCGGGTTCTGGAAATTGCTGTTGTTCAGTACAGCTTGCATAAATGTGGTCTTGAGTAATAAATTATCTATGAAACCTCTCTGTACTTTGCTACATAAATGAGCTTATTCTTACTGTAAGGTAAATCTTGCTCTAATCTGCACATGAGTCAGTAGCAAAGGACTGAGACTTTCAATAACTGTTTTGTTAACTGAGATTAGCTTTCCATATTTTTCCAGATTTTATTTCACATGCCATACAGATGTTTGGTTCTTGGTTTATTTTGTCATTTTATAACCTTTTCTGGATTTTTTCTTTTTGGGGGTACCGGGGATTGAACTCGGGTCCTTGGGCTTGCAAAGCAGGCACTGGAACCACTGAGCTAAATCCCCGGCCTTTCCAGATTTTATAATTTATTTATTTAGTCTTTTTGAGACATAGTCTTGCTATATAGCTTAGGCTGGCCTTGAACTCTCTATATCCTAGGCTGTCCTCAAACTGACATTAATCCTCTTGCCTCAGCCTCCCAGTGCTGGGATTACAGGTGTGCACCACCACACCTGCGTGCTACAAATTGTGTTTTAAATGAAGGAATATTTTGGGGCTGGGATTTAGCTCAGTGGTGCTACCGCCTGCCTTGCACCTGAGTTTGATCCCTGTACCAAAAAAGAGAAAATTTTTTTTTCAGAAACAGAAAAGTAACTCACCACTCAGATCGAATGTTTTGCCTCATTTGCTATGCATATTGTTTTGGGGAAAATAAAATGTCACAGGTACCACCGATTCCATGTGCTCCCCATCTCTACAGATACCCTCTGTCTTCAGGCAGGTGCGTATTAATCTCACCTCTAGTTAGTACTGTAATCCCAGTACTTGGGAGGCTGGGCAGGAGGACGCCCCTTTGGAGGCCAGTTTGGGTGAGTTAGTGAGACTGTGTCTCAAGGGTAAATGAAAAGTGTCAGGGATATAGTTCAGCGCTTGTCTAGGATGTGCAGGGCCCTGGGTTCAGTCCCCAGTGCTGCCAAAAACAATAAGAAAAGCACTTCCCCCTAAAACCACTTGGCTTAATTTGAATTTACTAATTATTTACATCATATTGACTTTAGAAATTATAGTACCATTCCATCAAGATAACAATTGTACTTTTTTTTTTTTGGTACCCCGGATTGAACTCGCACCTTGAGCTTGTGAGGCAGGTGGTGGCACCACTGAGCTAAATCTCCAGCCTAACAATTATAAAATTGTAGCAGTGAAGTCACTTACTAGGCAAAGCGACTCTGGCTTTAGACTGATTGGTATTGGACTTGTCATACTGGGTATTTTCTCATGCTTTGATTGACACCCCCCCAAAAAAAAAACCTCTTGAGTCTTACAGTAAGTAATGTAAAATGTGTTCTTGAGTGATTATAGTAAAGACTCATTCAGGAAAAAATTGTCTCAGATTATTGCCTAGGTGCTCATAGGAAGCTTCCATTGTGAAACTGTACTGCCCAGGGTCAGCCAGCTCTGCAGTATGGCTGTTACTGAAGTGTGTGGTTTAGTTGGAGTACATCTGTGTAGGAGTCAAAGAGACAAAACCCTGCCGTTGAGATAAAGGACACTTAGTAGCTCAAAGGGAACAAGGAGATGGCTCATTAGAAACATAATGTATATGTCAGCTTTAACACTTCACTGTTATTTTAAGCTTGGAAACAAGATTTTGATGCTAGAATCCACTGGAATTATCACCCTTTTTTTGGACAGTGGAGCGAACATATGATATTTATATATTTTTTTTGTTTGTTTTTTTGAGACAGGGTCTCATTATGTAGTTGAGACTGACCTGGAACTCACTGTGTAGCCCAGGCTTGTCTCGAACTCACAGCAATCCTCCTGCCTCAGCCTCCCGAGTGCTGGGATTACAGGTGTGCGTCACCACACTTGGCTTGATATTTATTAATGGTAGTGTCAGTGTGTGAGATCCCATTGCTGCATCATCAGGTCAGTGGTGGTGTTGGGAGAGTATCAGCGAGACCAGTGTTAATGCTGTGTTGTAGTTAGCACATAACTGATGTCCACGTGGATATTTTAGATTACCTTCTTGGTAGTATGTATGTGCTGATACCCAAACTGTTGTATAATCGTTCACATAGGTCTGAAATTTCCTCTTCTGATAACTTTATAAACTGTTAGGTGAATGCTATTGTGTGATACGAGGACACAGTCTTGGTGTATGTGTCTTAGGAATGTCTGTTAAGTAATTACTACGTGTCAGGCAGTAAGTGGTAGCATAAGCACTTTCCGTAGATTATCCCATTGTTTGGTTAGCTTTTTATTTTATTTTAATTAATCAATTAATTAATTTAGGTACCGGGGATCGAACTCAGGTCCTTGTGCAGGTGCCAGAACCACTGAGCTAAATCCCCAGCCTGGTTAGCTTTTTAAATCAGTGCATCCCCACTATGGGGAACAAAATACTAACTGATTAGAGATGTTCAAGCGCAGTTCCACTTTTAAGATAAGTATTTTTATTCTTTTGACTCTTCCCTTGCACTCTTCCAATACTGGCAGTATTCTGGCAGAAAAAAGTTAACAAGCAGCTTAATTTGTTAGTATAAACAGGTGGGTTTTCCCTAAATGTAGAAGGAATTGAAATATACTTGTACTTGGATATTGCATACTGTACCTTTTCAAAGTACAAAAACATTTTAAACAGTCTTTCAAAAATGGTTATAGTATAGTAGTAGTGTGCTAAGTACCACTGAGCTAAATCCCCAGCCCCCCTCCTTTTTTTTTTGAAGACAGGGTCTTGCTATGTAATCCAAGCTGGCCTGGAATGTGAAGTGATCCTCCTGCCTCAGCCTCCTGAGTGCTTACAAGCATGCAATTCCATGCCTAGCTAGATGAAGTAATTTTTTTTTTTTTTTTTTTTTTGGTGCCAGGGACTGAACTTGGGTCCTTGCGCTTGTGAGGCAGGCAGCAGAACCACTGAGCTAAATCCCCTGCCCTAGATGAAGTGATTTTGATTTAGCTCTGTATGTGTTATTAAATGATTACTCTTATGTATAGCCTTTTTTTTTGTTTTTTTGTCTTTTGTTTTTTGAGATATGGCCTCACTCTGTAGTTGAGACTGACCTAGAACTCACTATGTGGCCCAAGCTGGTCTCGAACTCACAGCGATCCTCCTGAGTGCTGGGATTACAGGCGTGTGCCACCACGCCCCGCTATGTATAGCCTTTTTAAATTTTATTTTTGGTACCTGGGATCGAACTTGGGTCTGGCACCACTGAGCTAAACCCCCAGCCCTTTATGTATAGCTTTTTAAAGTAAATATTTTAGTTTTTTTATTTTTGTTTTTTAAGACAAGGTCTTGTTACATAGTTCATGCTAGCCTTGAACTCACTCTGAGCTCAGGCTGGTCTTTTGTTTTGTTTTTCTTTGTGTCCTTACATATTAATTATTTATTTTTACAGCAAAGTATTTATTGGTACGTTTTAGGCTTGATGAATTTGCGTATGTACAGAATACCTCCAGTCTCTTTTTTCCCCATCCCCTCTTCTCTAAAGGCCACTCCCCTCCCTGTGTACAAAAGCTTTGTTTCCGTTTTTTCCTTGTATTTTCTTTTTTTTCTTGTCTCCTCCTTCCTTTCTTCCTCCCTCTTCCCTTGTTCTCCTTCCTATTGGAACATTTTCTTCCCATTTCCCAATGTCTATTATACATTTTATTTTATTTTTTATATTTTTTGGTACTGGGGATTGAACTCAGGACCTCATGCTTTCCAGGCAGGCACTGTGCCCCTGAGTTACATTCCCAGCCTGTCTGTTACACATTTTAGTCCTTATTTCCACTTTTGGTTCCTCATGCTAGAGAAACAATTCTGTATTTAAATGTATGTGTCCAATTTATTTCACTTGAGAGTGTGGTCTCAGGGTCCATCCAGTTAGCTAAAAATGTCTGAAATGCATCCTTCTTTATGGCAGAGTAGTACTCCACTGTATTAAAAAAAAGACATCTGGGCTGGGGTTGTAGCTCAGTGGCACAGTGTCTGCCTGGTAAGTGCAGGGTCCTGAGTTCCATTCCTGGTACCAAACAACAACAACAACCAAACCCCTCACATCTTCTTCATCCATTCATTGTTTGTTGGGCATTTGGGCTGTTCCAAGAATTCACTATTCCAAACTGTGCTGCTATAAACATGGGTGTGCATATATTGCTGTGGTCTGATGCTTTTGATTTTTGGGGTTAGAGACTAAGAAGGGGAATAGCTGAGTCAAATGGAACCTCTAGTTTTAGTTGATTTTTTTCCCCCTGTACCCGGAATCGAACTCAGAACCTTGGGCTTGCAAGGCAGGCACAGTGCCACTGAGCTAAGTCCCTGGCCCTACTTTGTTTTTTTGCAGACTCTCCATACTGATTTCTATGGTGGTTGTACCAGTCTACACTCCTACCAACAGTGGAGAGGGGCTCCTTTTTCCCCACATCCCCGCCAGCGTTTATCATCAGTTGGTTTCTTGATAACAGGTATTCTTGCAGGAGTCAGATGGAATATCAGCTTTGTTTGGTTTTGTTTGTTTGTTTGTTTGTTTGTTTATTTTGGGTGAGGTACCAGGGATCGAACTCATCAGCTTTGTTTTAAACTGGTCATCTCTCAAATGACCAGTTATGTTGAACATTTTTTCATTCTTTTTTTTTTTTTGGTCTCTTCATTCTTTTGGTGGTTTCTCTTGCTGTGCAAAAGCTTTTTAATAAGATGAGGTCCTAGTCAATTTAAGAAGATGAGTCCTAGTTCCTATGTGGTCTGGGTTGTTCATGAATTCTTTGCCTACTCCCTGTGCCCTCAAGTGCTCTACCTATTCTCCCTTCCAGCAGATTTAGTGTTTCTTTTTTATATATTTAGATCCTTGGTCCATTTCAATTTTAGTTTAGTGCATGGTGAAAGACATGGGTTTAGTTTCAATTTTCGGCATGCAGAAAGCCAGTTTTTCCAGCACCATTTATTAAAGAGTCTATCTTTCTTTCAGTGAAGGTGTTTGGCTCCTTTGTCAAGTATGAGGTGGCTGAGTGTGTCTGGAGTTGTTTCTGAATCTTCTAATCTGTTCCATTGATCCTCAGGTCTCTTTTTTTGGCCAATATCATGCTGTTTTTATCACAGTAGCTTTGAAGTATAGTTTCAGGTGAGGGATTATGATGCTCCCTGCCTTACCTTTGTTGCCCAGAATTGCCTTTGCTAGTCTAGGCTTCTTCTGATTCCAAACCCAGGCTGCTCTTGAACTCTTTCTTGACAGTTCTTCTTCTGAGTGCTGGGGATTACAGGTGTGTACCATCATGCCTGGCACAATTTTTGAAATTAAAATTGTAAATTGTAAAACAAGGTTTGGGAGGAAAGGTGCTTTTTCTTTGCCTCATTGGTTCAGATATTTAAATGATGTGAAATTCTTAATTGTTATAATTTGGAAAGTGAATTTTTTGAAGTATTAAAAGTTCTCATTTAGTTTTATCATTTATGCATGAACAGCCCCCCAGATTGGGGCTCAAACTCAGGACTCTGTGCTTGCCAGACAGGTGAGGCACCATTAAGCTACATCGCTGGCCCTAGTCTAGGGTTTTGCTTTTTGGTACTGGGGATTGAACTTGGGACCTTGTGCTTGCGAGGCAGGTGGCAGAACCACTGAGCTAAATCCCTGATCCCCCAGTCTAGGTTTTATTTATTTATTTATTTATTTTTTGGTACCGGGGCTTGAACTCAGACCCTTGCACCTATGAGGAAGGTGGCGGAACCACTGAGCTCCCCCCCCATCTAGGTTTTAATGAAGTTTGGGTTTTAAAAAACTGCCTGTGCTTGCAAGTGCAAGGTCCTGAGTTTGATTCCTGGTACCAAAAAAAAAAAAAAAATGTTTCCCTGTGCATCCATCCAAGATGGTGTACATAGAATTATCCTGGGCTATTTCTGACTACTGGTTTTTCTTTTCCCTTTAGGTGAGGCAGGCGACCAATCAAATTGTGATGAATTGTGCTGATATTGACATTATTACAGCTTCATACGCACCAGAAGGAGATGAAGGTAAGGGCTGTTTTCTATTTTAATTTGTTCTGTGTGTGTGTTTGTGTAATATATGTACTTTTAGGTGAAGACATTAATCTTTTTTGGTGGGGGTTACTGGGGATCGAACTAGGGACCTTGTGTTTGTGAGGCAGGCGGCAGAACCACAGAGCTAAATCCCCGGCCTGAAGACATTAATCTTTATTTATTTATTTATGTTTTGGTACTGGGGACTGAACTCAGGCCCTTGTGCTTGCAAGGCAGGCACCGTAACCACTGAGCTAAATCCTCAGCCCATAATCTTTATTAATTAATTAATTAAACAAAAAGTGTTTTTTTATGGCCAGTGATGTAGCTCATTGGTGCTGCTGCCTGCCTTACAAGTGTGAGGTCCTGAGTTCAATACCTGGTACCAAAAACAAAACTTTTTTGAGGCAGAGTCTTGCTATGCAGTTCAGGCTGTCCTTGTACGCACAGTGAAGCCCAGAATGGCCTGGAACACACACCAATCCTCCTGCCTCAGCCTCCCAAGTGCTGAGATTACAGGCATGTTTATTAATTTAAAAACAAATTTTAGGCTGGGTGCAGTGGTGCATGTCTGTAATCCCAGCATTTAAGAGGCCAAAGTTGGAAGAGTGCCATAAAGTAGAAGGTGGCCTAAGCTCCATAGTGAGTTCAAGGCCATCCTGAAATACGTAGTGAGATTCTACCTCAAAAACACCAAAAAATAAAGATTCTTTATGTGTTTATAGGAAATATTTGACTAGCGTGTTACTGTATTATGAAATAAAAAAAGTCACAATTTAAGATTTCCTTGAAACATGTTTTTGTTTGTTTTTTGAGACAAGGTCTCACTTTGTAGTTCATGCTGGACCTGAACTCACTATGTAGCCCAGCCTGGCCTTGAACTCTAGCAATCCTCTTGCCTCAGCCTCCTGAGTGCTGAGATTATAAGCGTGCATCACCATGCCTGACACTTTTTTTTTTTGACCTAGGGTCTCATCATGTAGTTTACGCTGACCTTGAACTCACTGTGTAGCCCAGGTGGGCCTTAACTCATGGGGATTCTCCTGCCTCAGTCTCCTGAGTACTGGGATGACAGGTGTTTGCCACTATGCTTGGCTTAATTTTTTTTTATTTTTAAAATTTTTATTAGTACATTTTAGATATACATAATGATAACATTCATTACAGAGAATTTTTACCTGTACATGATATATCTTGCTTCTTTTTGTCCCATTCCTCTTTCTTTCAACCCCTCTTCTACTTTTTTTTTTTTTGTTACCGGGGATCGGACTTGGAACCGTGTGCTTGTGAGGCAGGCGGCAGAACCACTGAGCTAAATCCCCGGCCCCTTCCTCTTCTTATTTACAAAAACTTTATTTCCAGTTTTTTCTTCTATTCTTTCTTCTTTTCGCCCTTCCCCCTCCCTTGTTCCTCTTCTCATTTGAACATTTTCTTCTGACTTCCTATTACATATCTATCACATATTTTAGTCCTTATTTCCACTTTCGGTTTCTCACATCAGCGAAACAATGTGGTTTTTAAACATGTGTACCCAATTTATTTCACTTAAGAGTATGGTCTCAAGTTGTATCCATTCAGCTGTAAATGTCTCAAGTCACCTTCTTTTTGGCAGAGTAGTACTCCATTGTAGAAAAGAAACACATTTTTTTCCAGTTTTTGCTTGATATGTATTTCCAAGATGTAGCTATTCCAAACTGTGCCGCTGTAAACATGGGCGTGCATATATCGCTGTGGTCTGATGCTTTTAATTCTTCTGGGAAGAGACCAAGAAGGGGAATAGCTGGGTCAGGTGGAACCTCTACTTTTAGTTGTTTGAGGAATCTCCACACTGATTTCCACAGTGGCTGCCCCAGTCTGCACCCCACCAGCAGTGGAGAAGGGCTCCTTTTTCCCCACAGCCCCGCCAACACTTGTTATTGGCTGATTTTTTCATAACTGGTTTAATTTTAAATTTTTAAATCTATTTAACTGCCAGGAAATAATTCATAGGGCTTAAAACGTCTTGACTGCCTTGACTGAATGAAGCTAAGCTTACATAATGGTCTCTGTCTCAGGGAAGCCTGTTGGTGTGTCGCTAAGGCAGGCAGGAGGGAGGCCTACTGATAGGAATGAAGAAAAATTTGCAGAGATTCAGAGGAAATGTTACTTTCTTTAGGTTCATACAGTATTTTTCTTTAAAACTAGGTAAGATGCATTTCTCAGCCCTTTGCTCCTACAACAGGAAAAACCTGGAGTCATGTGAAAGCCCATGTAATTTTAGAATGTAAAAGAGTGAGAAATTATTTAATTTTATCCTTGGACAGAGTAGCATTTGAAGATTTTTCCCTTTTGGTGTTTTTTGTTTTGTTTTTTGTCTTTTGAGTCAGGGTCTGGCTATGTAGCTTAGGCTGGCCTTGAACTCACTGTGTAGCCCAGGCTGGCCTCAAACTAGTGGTGATCCTTCTGCCTCAGCCTCCTGAGTGCTGGGACTACAGGTACACGCTGCCACCACTTCCACCACGGCAGGCAAAGATGTCTTCCTTACAGGATGTGACATATTTTTTTCTTTAGAAACCAGTAGTTGTAGGGGCCAGGGATGTAGCTCAGTGGTGCTGCCACCTGCCTAGAAAGCCCTGGTACCATTAAAAAGAGAAACCAGTAGTTGTATATTTGACTTCCACATATTTCCAGAGTAGAACTTTGACAATAGGGAATAAATGAAACAATAAGGCTGACACTGTTGTTTCCCCTTTTTATTCCTTTTTCTTTTTTTTTTACTTTGATTTGAACTTGGGATCTTGTACTTGCCAGGCAGGCAGTGAAACCACTGACCTAAATTCTTGCCCACCACCACCTTTTTTTTTTTGAGATCTCACTATTAGTTCAGCCTGGCCTTGAAACTAGGGCAATCCTCCTGCCTCAGCCTCCCAAGTTCTGGGATTACAGGTGTGCACCCAGCTCTACTACCATTTTTAACCTAGCTAGTCACATCTGGTGCTTAGTAATACTTACAACTGCTTTCTGTAAGACTAATTTAATTTAGATATCTGTGGCCACTAAATCTTGGTGCTTTAAGGTATAGTTAGGAAATTAATTTAATGATGTAAAATTATTCCTTTTTTTGGGGGGGGGTTTTTGAGACAGGGTCTCACTATGTAGTTGAGACTGACCTGGAACTCACTATGTAGCCCGGGCTGGTCTTGAACTCACAGCAATCCTCCTGCCTCAGCCTCCTGAGTGCTGGGCTTGTGCCACCACCCCCGGCTCTAAATTGTTGCTTCTTGATCTAAATTTTTTTTTTTTGTACCAGTGATTGAACTCAGGACCTTGGGCTTGCAAGGCAGGCGGCAGCACCAGTGAACTAAATCCTCAGTCCTAATATTAAGTTTTTGATAGATGAGAACAGGCCACCTCATGAAATGTGCAGTAACCTGAAAGAACATGAGTGTGCATCTCTATAAACTAAGGCACTATCTTGTAAACATAATTTAAAAACTTTGCTGGCTGTGGTGATACACACCTGTAATCCTAGCACTCAGGAGGCTGAGTCAGGAGGATCGCCACCAGTTTGAGGCCAGCCTGGACTACACAGTTTGAGGCCAGCCTCAACTGCATAGCAAGACTTTATCTAAAAAACAAAAAAGATCTGATTGAGAACTTATTTTGTAATATTAAAAAGAAAGAAAGAGTAAAGCCAGTACGGAAAATGGCTGAAAACTGTTGCTTCGCTGTTCTTCACTTCAAGCATTGGTGAGATCACTGCACTTAAGCCAGTCAAAGAAAGCCCCATCCCACGCAGTGCAGGGAGCAGCATTACCATCAGTACTGCGGGAGAACATGAAAGTCCTGAATGCCAGCACGCGGGTCCTGACACATAGTCTTCATTCCATTTACTACTCATAGACGGCGTGGGTGTGACCACACAGAAAATGGGCATTTAAACTTTGAACCAAGTTTTTCCATAGTATACTCTGTCAGGTATGTGTTTGTAGTATTAGTGGTGTAAGAAGAAAAATGTTGCCGCAGTGACATACCAGTTCATTCAGAGTTCTGACACATAGTTTCAGATCGGCCAGCGCCACTTTAGTTCATCATAACCGTGTGGTGTTCATTCGTGGAGTACAGTTTATCCGTGGATGTGTGCATGTGGCCATAAGTGTGAGTATACGGAATAAAATACCTTAGGAATATAGCCAAGTATTAATATCAGAGCACAGCTATTAACTGGACAAAAAGGAGTGGTTCTTCACACGTGATTGTAGCACTTTTGAACTCTCCCAGTACTTATCCTGTCATACACTTACTGTAGATAATGAATAACATTAATCGGCCACTGTCTCTTTACAATCGATTTGTTTTATGTTATCATTCTGAAAATACATGCACACTTCAAAATAGGATTCTTTCAAGAAGGAAAATTATCAATTTCTTTCTCTTTTTTGATACTGGGGATCGAACTCGGGTCCTTGTGCTTGCGAGGCAGGCGGCAGAACCTCTGAGTTAAATGCCTGGCAAATTATCAATTTCTAATAAAAAAGTATTAATATGTAAAATTTTATTAAACATTTTTAAATGAAACGAACTTGAGTAGAACTTTAGTTCTAAAAATGGTAGCTTAGGTAAAAGGCCTCAAATCAGATTTCCTTTGGGGTTAAACAGATAACAAAAATGAGTGATTCAGTCTGGTTTAGGAAAATGAGCGACAGAACAGAGGCTGAACCAAAGCATACACGTCTTACATCAATATATTCAAATTCTAGCAGGGCGTGGTGGCGCATGCCTGTAATCCCAGCACTTGGGAGGCTGAGGCAGGAGGATCGCTGTGAGTTTGAGACAGTCTGGGCTACATAGTGAGTTCCAGGGCAGGCTCAACTATGTAGTGAGACCCTGTCTCAAAAAAAAAAAAACAAACCAAAAACTAAAACAAAATATATATCCAAATTCTTTTTTTTGGTTTTGTGAGAGAGGCTGACTGCTCATTCTTGCTCTTTTCCCGCCTGTGGGTTTTGCAGACG